TAATAATCCTAGCATCATAAGCCTATAATCCGATATTTACTAATTTTGCAATGTTAAGTTCTGCTTGAATTTGTAATTCTCTAACTCCGTGCCTTTCTTTAAAGCGTCGCGATAACCTGTTGAATGTGTAAGTCCTTCTGTGATTTGTAACAGTTCCGCAAAGTGCTCTTTTCTGAAAGAAACACTTTACCATTACATTTTTCAATTGCTCATACTTCACACCTTTCACTGCTTCTTTATGTGAAGATCAAGTTGATGTTACACAGAAGAAGGAATTCTTCCAATTTAGGCTGCTGTTTTTAGGCTATCTTAATAACTTACACAAAGAATGAAATTCGATATAATACACGTAAAGAATTTTCAATTCGCTATTGATGTGTGGAACCCATACAAAGCTATTAAGAAGTTAAGGATACATTTGAACTTAATGTAGATTTTTAATTAATTGAGTAATATCAAAAATAGTTGCTTAAATAATTCTTTGTTCTAACACTTTGTTGTTCCACCACTTGATACACAGCGTTATTCAGCATTTCTGGGTGAATTGCACCAAATTAGTCCTTGAAACTACCTCATTTAACTTTTCCACCATTGCTGTCCATGTTCTACCTAATGATGAAGTTGATAAGATTGATGTGTGATTAATATCAGAAATTCCCTTTACCAATCAATCATATATCATACATTTTAAAGGCTATAAAGTATATCATACCACCCACCCTAACAACATTGCATTAAGGAAAATATCTTGCATCATCAAGAAATGGAACAAGAAGCTGAGACAGTAGTTAACGCTATTCAAACAGCGGCATGGGAAAACACTCCTAGACTAAACCCTATAAGTACTAAAGAAATTACTCAATTAGTCAACAAATCCTGCAAATACCTACAACTGTATCATATAACGCTAGCATTTAATAAGATAGATTCGAAAAAAGCAAAACTTTTTGTATATCATCTAGAACAAATATTTAAATCAAATGAAGGTCAGGAAGAAAAGCCAGAATGGCATGAAGTTCAAGAAGAAGTGACGTCATCTAAAGAAGTGTACATTAAGATAAAATAAAATATTAACTCGAAAAAGACGCCTGATTTTAACTTAATAACCGAGGAAACATTGAAAAACTATCAATGGTGCCTTTAGATTACGATAAGTTCCCAAATTCTAGAAGTTAGCTGAAGTTGTAATGATACCCAAACGAAAAAAACTTTCTGTATGAAGTAATACCATACAGACCGATATCATTGCTGCCAGTAATAGCGCAATTATTTGAAAAACTTCTTTCAATAAGAATAAAACTTATAATTGAAACTAGGGATTGATCCCAAATCACCAATTTGGTTTTAGAAACAAATATTCTATATTTTACCAGATACACAGAATAACAAATGTAATAAAAAAAGCATTAAATGAACTAAAATGTTCTTAGATGTAGCACAAGTATTTAATAAGGTGTGGTTTGAAGATTTTGCATCTATAAACTGAGAAAATACTACCTGAAAGGTTTTACGATACCTTATAATCCTACATTATAAATACAAATATTTCAAAATAAAGCATGAAAAAGCTTACTCAAAACTAAAACTGATTAAAACTGGTGTACCCTTGGGAAGTAAATTGGATCTGGTTGTGTACCTTTTATACAAGTTGTATATACTTCAAATAATAGGAAACAATACTATCGTCACTTTTGCTAATGCCACAACTATATTAGCAGATGGAAGAACCAATGAAGAAGCTACAAACAGTAACCTGGTCTAAAAAATGGAAAATCAGAATAAAGGAATCCAAATCTATTCATGTTAACTACTCCAATAAAGCGTTTCAACAGGTACCAGTAAATATCAATAATGCTATAGTCTCATTCTCAAACACTGATAAATACCTAGGTATAACGCTTGATGCAAAGTTTCGCTGGAAAGCACCCGTTAAAAAGAAAAGACTTGAGCTTGGAATAAGATATAGAAACATCTATTGGCTGATACGATATCCCATTATGTTTAAGCAGAAAATTTGACAAGAGTCATGAGGAAAGGCTAAGTTGTCATATTAATATCAAGACTATCGAGCTGATAATACTGAATTAGAAAGAAGACTCAAGAGAAAGAAACCATTTGAATTGGTATAGATGTGTTGTAAAAAGGTAAAGCTTGTGAGTGGGCATAGTAAAGTATTGTACTTTCAATGATAAAAACTAAGGAACTTTAATGAGTATACCTTAGTAGTCACCTTTAATAAATTAAGTTATATTTAAATTGCTTGTTAGTCATGCTTAACCAGATTGTAAAACGTATTCCAATTATTGATAGAACTATTCTAATACAATTTAAATCATACCCCTCATTTTATGATAACCCCATATTTAACAATATGTTCAACTTTTTCAATAACGGAATATAGTATAGTAGTGAACATTAAGATAATCTCGATTCATTCTCAAATGACATAAATGATATTTTATAAACAAGTATACATAGTCAGACATAAATCGAATTAAAAATGCCTGATATGTTATAAATTTCTTTTTTGAAAACTAATAAGACACATTATTTTTAAAAGTTATATATGATGTGTTCATGTCAGGATATTTTTTCTCAAAGCTCTTGTTGTAAATATTGAGTGCCGTTCTGGTAGAGTAATTTTAGGTAACGAGATCCGGGAAATAGACGCAGAAATGGACGTAGTCAGTCCCTTTCCAGGGTCGAAATTGGTGGATACAACTCAGTACCGTCGGGTCTTCTATATAAAACGAATAGGGCCCCTCGGAGATTTAGCTTCTCTCGACACGATATACTGATGAAATCACCAGGGAATTACAAGGTGAAGCAATCTTTAGTTAGTGGATTACTTGTCTTATACACAAAACAAGTTTAACTGTACAATCACTGTTTAGAATTGGTTTAACCGTATTTTTATTAAAAACATCAAAATTGTTTTATAAATTGTTATTCTTTCTAATCAAATTTAATGTATTTGATGGTATGTAGTCAACGACACACCCCGAAATGTTTCAAAACCAACTCGATAAATTGGATATCACCAAAAATTCAGGTTATTGGATTAAAGCTGTCGATAACATCCATTGAATTTTTGTCAACGTTCGCATGTCGGGAACTATGCGGTATGATCACAATTGATATATGGTTGTTATTATTTCCACAAAAAAAATCGAGCAACTTTTTAGATCTAATTACTCAGATATGTGATTTTTTTAAATTCAAATACTAGTTGTACTTGCATATGAAATATTGCTGTTAACTAACGAAATTCATTTTTTTCTTTTATGATAAGGACACAAACATTTATTTCTCAACGCATTTCTCGATTTTTCTTTCAAAACCTTTCGGCGTGTAACTTAAAAGTTACGAGCTACATCAATCACTTTATACGTAGCCAAAGTAAAAAAGTTTCCACAAAAGGTCGACGATAAAATATGCAAGAATTTCCCAGCAAGTCATTTAATTCTAGTTAGTATACAAATGGGAAAAAACTTCTTTATAACATAAGCAATATCGATGATTTAAACGTTAAAGGATTTTCTTGAATGTCCATTTAATGGATTTCGTTTCAGTACAAATTACATGAACGGTTAACTGTGATTTCGTGTGCTAAAGTTTGTAGGGAAAAGTTTCGCAAACTAAATAAAACCAAATACACCGGCTTCTTTCTAGATTTTCTAGAAACGCACGGTCTCATCCAACTAGCTTAGATGTCGAGATCAAGAGGCCAAGACGCAAATACTTTAAGCTGCTAGAAAGTAAACAGTGAACTGAGGATATAACTTAAATATCCGGGGGTTGAAGTTCAAGAAACTTTTTCAGCAAATCCTACGTGGAACTTCTACGAATTTAAGCTACTATCAATTAGATAGGATTCAAAGTTTTCAAAGAGAAATTTTCAAAAAAAATCATAAAACAATAAAACTAAGTGATTTATTTATTTATATTCTAATATAAGCTGAAAATATAATTAAATTTAAAAAAAACGTTTAATAAGGCTTATTTAAATGTTCTATCTTAAATTAAAGCTAAAATGTCAACCCAAACTCCGTTCTCGTTAAATCCCGATTCTACATTGAAAAATGGCCTTTCTTATTAAGTTAACGAGGAATAAAGAAAGAGAAACGACGAAGAATATAACCATAGAAATTGAAACGACAAATTCTCGAAAGATATCTTGCATAATTAATACGGCTAATCTTCACGGATTTTATTTTCGTTTCTAAAACTTAAACGAATTAAAGAAGTCGTGAGAACTCGAGCTCAAATTCAGTTAGTTGCTTCAAGTTACGCGAAGTATGTATAAGTTGCAAAGCTAATTGTGTTTCGCGTCAAGGTGAAATTTTAGTGCGAAAACTTTTGAAATGAGGAAGGGAACGGGGCGAGTATTTGTCTTTAGAATTCAGGGACTTATCTAGGGTATATAGAAGTTTGCACCAAAGTTTGTGCATTGACCTACATTACTATGGCTGCAAACGAAAACTAAACAAAAAGGAGCTTTATACACTTCTCAGATTTAATTTCTGTGTATTGAACCGTAATTATTATTAGTGCTTAAAAATAATATAAAAATCGATTATTTTTAACGAAAAAAAAAAAAGAAATATTACAGGAAATTCTATCGATACCTCAATATTTCAATTCGAAGCAAGTCAACTTGAATAGACCGACACATCTCGTTTGTCGAAATGTTTCTCGGTATATTTGAAATCTTACCACCTTTACAAAACGCACTATCTATTGAAACTATTTCTAAGCTTTTCACATTTCATATCTCGTTCCGCGTTTTGCCATTTCCACAAATTCAACAGCTAAAAGAGATTCACTGTGAAACGAAAACTTACACAGATCGATATGTCTCGTTTCTCGCTATTGTCCACTTCAACTTACATCACTTCAAATATCTACCATCCACTATTGAAAATTATTATCATATTTTCAATATAAAAGAATAAATTGTCTCAAAGAATGAGTAAAATTGATTTTTTAAATCTTTTCAGATGTTGTCAAGAGTGTGCAAAAACTGAAGGAGAACCGTGTGGAGGCGAACTTGGTTTTAGCGGAACTTGCGAACCAGGTTTGTCCTGTCAGCAACCGGGCAGAACCCCTGCTGAAGGCACGTGCAGACCCATCGGTCTTGATGGCGACGGAGACACGTGAAACCCGTCCAAATCTTACCAGGTAAGTGGCATCCTGAATTCTTTTAGTAATCGAAACCGGGATGTTAAACTTGGACGTTTCGGATCTTACAAAATTTTTAAATTTCTAACTAAACTTTGATTGTTATTAACAGGGTAAAATTTTAAGAGGTTTTGTGATATTCTCCCTATTATTAAGCTATCACTATCTTTAGTGATTTATCTTTAAAGATTTAACTTCTTTAATAATAATTCTTATTAATATTAATATCAAGGTAAAATATAAATAAAATGAAACATCAAGTTCCTGACTGTATCTATGTGTATAATTAACAGTACTTATTCGCGTCGTAAAATTCGACTTTAGTAACCCTTTTAGAGACGACTGTTACTTTGATGTTGGTTTGTGTGTTTAGGAAATAGACACTTATTACATTCACAAAGAGATTTTCTTCTGTCTTTGAAGTTTTACAGTACCCACCCAGTACTAAAACTGCATAATAATTCGCGACGTTGTTCTGAAGATGAAATGGTTTCAAAATTATTTTGAAGGTGGGGTAATATAAGTAACAAAAGACGTAGGCCCCTTCAGATTAAAGAATATAAAAAAGAATAAAATGTAAGAATCTATAGCAAAGTACTTGCTATTTATCACGGGCTATGATATTAACTGAATTAATGAAATTAATTGTGATCATATAGTAATCCTCAAACTAGCGAGTTGGAGCAAAGAGCCTCGACAAATGCACGCAATCGTGTTCGGTTTTGAGTTATCTGTTCACTTCCAGCCACGATCTTCCTGTTGCGTTTATTTCTTTCATAATGGATCTCCGCCACGTTATCTATTTTCTTTAGGGCATATTCTATTCAAAATCTAGAACACGATGAAAGTAATTCAACAAAATTACAATTTCAACTTCATATGGAGGATCTCTAGGTCTTTCCATAGCCAACTTTATAACTTAAATCCATTTCTGTAATTCCCAACGTTCCTTCGGTCGCCCTCTCCTTGTCGTTATTCTATACAGGATGATTCAAAAAACCGTTGACAGACTTCTTACAAAACTTTGATTAAAGCAACATTTTTTTGATTGGATTAACAAATTTTCTACAAACGTGTTTTTCTTAAAAACTATTGCTTTGATCAAAGTTTTGTAAGAGACAAATTGATAGATAATTGATCACTTTACACGCAAATACTTGACAAAGCAATACATTAGCAATGGCGTAGACAATATTTATAAAAAAGGGCTTTTTATTGCAGATAATGTTTAATTTTAAAGAAACTTTGACCCACCATATCTCCTTAAGGAGGCATTTGCGACCCGATGTATATTAAGACTATTGATCTTAATTTTTCTTTTAGTATCTACTCTAGAAGTCTTTCAGCGGTTTTTTGAATCATCCTGTATATTCTTTAATTGATTCTATATTAAGATCTGTTCTGATTTGTTCATTTTTCCTCCATTTTTGTCACTCCCCTTGCTCTTCGTATGTATTTCATTTCTGTTGCTGTAACCTTGCATTTGTCTTTTACCGATAACACCCAAGATTCACATCCGTATGTCAGAACCGGCCTATTGTATATCAACCTATAAAGTTTTATTCTTGTTTGTGTTGACACTTCTTTCTTATTTATAAAGCATGTACTAGCCGTATAATAGACTCTATAGGCCTGTCTCCTTCTATTATTAAATTCTGCATCCCGTCTTCCATTTTGATCTATTCATTCCAAAATATTGGAAACTGTCAACCTGTTCTATTAGATCTTCCGCTAGTCTTATATGTAATATCTTTCGTTCTTCAGATATAGCAATAATATTACTGTTATTTTTATTCGTCTAGAAACTCATACAATTTATGGATAATACCTTATTCCATATATTAATTATCTTTCAAGTCACTTTTATTTCCAGCAACAAGTATAGTTTCATCTGCGAAGACGCATTCCGAGACAGAAATTGTTTCTAAATGTTTGTATCCTAGAAACATAGATTTTATTAGTTTCTGTGTCTCTCTTACCAATGAGTTACTCCATCCGTGGTAACAAATTCTCCGGATACCATATTTTTACTTATTATTCCGTTTCTCGCTCTCGCATACAAACATTTAGTTATTTCAATTAATTTGATGTCCACATTCTATTTATGTAATGCTTTCCATATTGTCGCTCTTGATACCTTATATCATTCTGTTTTTTTGTCAAATTCTATTAATGATTTCTTTTATTGCAAATCCGTGATTTGTTGTGCATATATTATCTACACTAAAAAAAAGTCCATGGACATGAATTTTAATAATGGATCCTAAGGGTGCTATTAAGTCAGCATTAAAAAAAGTTTTTAAAAATATGCATCTATTTGAGTTACACAAAGAAAGAGGACTTGATCCATTAAAAAATTTACATTTGGAATGTGTTGGAAATAGGAAAAAATATTTAGTGCAAGCGGGGTTGGGTTAACTTTGATTTTTAGATATTTGCATGGGGGACATTTTACGTATAGCACTTTTAAAATCACCATACTGTATAATAACCATACGTTTGAAAACATCGTATCGTAGTAATCTTTGATGGAAAATTGTTTTTATATTCTAATTCTTTTGGTTAACTCTTTATATTTTTATGTAAACGTAGGGTTGATTTATTATATTTAACAAAAATATGTTATTTCACAAACATAAGCAAAAACACATTTTTTTGTAACCAAACAAAGCAAACACTTATGAAAAGGTGCAAAGCGTTCTATGAACGAATTTGGTACATGTTATACTGGAACGTTTAGGCTTCATATCTGTACCATATTACCCACATCTATATGATTGAAGTCCTGATCATAGGGGTGGCAAATGGTTCCCTAAAAATAAAATAAAATAACAGCAACTTTTAGTTGCCACCCCTTTGATTTTCATGAAAAGCTGTAATATAAATAAAGCTGCTCAAATAAGCCAGGTTAAAATGTATTCATTATAACCGACTATGGGTTTCTACAACCCTTTTTTTTCTTTTGACATGCTTAATGTTGAAAACTAAAACACATTTTCTTCCCTTACCTTTCCATTTGTCGATGGTTATATTAGTTGTATTTAGCGAATTTGTCTCCTTGGTTTCAAAATCTTTATCACTTACAAACTTTTAACCAGTAAGCTGTTCTCTGGTAGATGTGAATGTTCAGTGAATTGGAATGATATCCTAGAATAGGTGTCCAAGAAATGGAACCCCATCTACGAATTCATCTTTAGGGAGACGTTAAATTTAAATAATCTCTCACTTCGCGCGTGCTGAGGCCTAGACAGAATCTTTTACGGTAACTCTTCAACATTACTTTGCAACAAGTTAGTGTAGAGAACTTCCGTAAGACGAACTATCGATTTGCTATTGATATGTAGCGTTCATCAATAGCAAATCGACGTTTCTCATTTTCTTAAAAGTGGATTCGTTTTCGTCAGATCATTGCCGTGCATTCTGGTTGTTACTGAATGATATAACTTTATAACTTCAACTCTCCCCTGAAGGTTGCGCTCATTGAACATGATAAGGATACAATTCCTGTCGACACAATGATCGGCATGCTTGGAAATGTTCAAAAGCAAGATGTATAGATGATCTGTGTGTACTAGTGATTGAACTATTTACATTTTATCTGTAGTCAAATGAATTTCACTTTGTGTACTACAAATTACTTCTGCATGAGATTGCGTCGGTTTCACGAAGTGCACTGAAAACACGTACAAATCGGTCATGGAAGCATGATCACACTCATTACAAAATCCACAAACAAATAGCATATCGATGGGTTGTCAAAAATAGTATTAAGTACCACTATTTTAGTCCTAAAGATCTTCGTTAAAAATTTATAAGAAAAGGTCTATGAAGAAAAGGCCAATTTAAAGCCAAATAATTTCTAAATAGCCAATTTAGTTCTGAAACCTTTCTGTCTCCTATAAGATTTTGATTACGTAACTGGTTAAGCCTTTTTTGGGCCAAGGAATCTATGGTCTTCCGTTGTACAAACATTTTGGAAACACCCGGTATATGAAATTTCTATTATACAGATGTCCCAGAATATGTACCACAGTAAATAAAAGTTAATAAAAGGACAAAAGATTATTAATAAAGAATATCATGAAAAGGTATTTTTATGGTTTTTAGTATTTCACATTTTTTTAGTATTTTGAGACAAAATATCATTTAGGTACACTGAGGTTCATATTAAAAAATATAGAAGTGTAAAACGTCTTATTTTCAATATTTTTCAAATGTATTTTTAACAATTTTCTGTAACGGGTTGCTTTTAAGTTTAATGTAACTGTTATTCTGTAATTGTTATGTAATTATTGTTCTTCATAAATTCATTTGTTCTTTCTAAATATAAACGTTTGTTCAACATGACAATACATATATCGCTCCTTTATCTGCTTTTACAAAAATACCGTTACGTTAATTTTCTTTTTATAGATTTTATGTTTTTCCAGTCATTATTTTTATTTTTATTATTTAAGTTTTTTAGAACTTTATTGCTATTCAAAAGATAAATTCATTCGTTTCGAAGTTCTTCTTCTTTCTCTACAGAGAATTACGTGAAGGCGAAACTTGACACTATTCTTTGATAGCATACTTTTATTTAATTCTCTTGTCGTCATTGCTTTCTTTATACTTGTACTTATCATGAAAGCTGCCGCTTATTTCACTAATATAAATTCTTTGAATGTTGCTCAACACTTTAAAAAACTTTTAAAAAATCCACATTATCTATATTAAGGGAAATTTCTTCATATTGAACTCTCAAATCTTAAAATACCAATGTCGATTCTGAGTGTACATTGTTTACTAATGAAGTTATTCTTTTCTAGAAACGAATCCACAATATTTATGATTAACCGTTGCTTATCTATAGTAATTTTTCACTCCCAACGCCTATCAATATTTCCCACTGCTGCAATCCTTCAGCTCTGCTAGCCGACTCGAATTAGTGGTTACAATACTCTCTCAGTCATAAATTCTTATGCGGATCCAAGATCGTTTACGAGGAAGACGTGATTGAA